ATTGGAGGAAGTATCTCATATAAGAGTGTTAATAATAACATTGAAATTTTAATAAATTATTCTTTAAAAATAATAAAGAAATGATAATATAATTGAAAAAAATTAAAAAAACTATTTAACATCTTATACTTTAGATCTAGTGGAGGCAGAGCTTTAAGTAAGTACTTATATTAAGGACTAGATTTTGTGAGTGTTATCAATTAAAACATAGGTCAATAATCATAGATGATGTTGGAGTATTATGAAATTAAACAGAGTGTTTAATAGGATCTTATGTTTTCTGTTGGATGTATGACAGCAGACCAGTCCGGTATATTAGACAAATGAGGGACGATCACTTGAATCAAGTTAGATATTTTCTTAACGAAAATGCAAATAAAAAAAGGGGGGGGGGGGGACTTGAAACCGTAGATTAGGAGTGGGACGGGAAAAGCAAAGAGACAAGGAGATCTAACGGCATCGACACAATGTGGCTGAAGTTCGGTGAAGTTGGGGTGTCATGATGAAACGGGAGAGTGTGGGCCCACGTGTGGATGGGATCACAAAGCCAAGTTACTGTTAGTATTACTATTACTATTAAAGACAGGTTATTATTAAGGATAAAAAAGTAAAAATACTCATAAATGGTCAGTCACAAACCCCAATTTTAAAGTGAAAAATAGCAAAAATACTCATAATGTTATATGGATGGTGTGCAAAAGTAACCAAATTGTTAACTTTGACTTAATGCTATTAACTTTGATATTTAAATGTTGACTATACATGTTACGTGTCAATTTTCACTAATATTGAAAGAGTCAAAAATACCTTTAAATTTATTGGCCATGAGCAAAAATACCCACGAAATCATAGATTAAGAGCAAAAATACCCATAATGTTACCAGAGTTAGTGCAAAAGTACTAATCCTTCAATCCCTTAAATGTTAACTATTTAGTTGACATCTAAGCATGCAAAAGTATTAAATGTTACTATTTAGTTATTAAGCATAAATTTCTATTTTTTCACTGATGTAGATAAAAAATATTCTCAGATGAATTTTTACATATATTGATTGATTATCGTACAAGTGCCCATAATGTTACTTTAGTAGATGCGATAGTGACCAATCCATCAAAATTAATGTCACATGGTTTTCTTTTCATTGCCACGTATCTCGCCTCCTTCTTTTCTCCTTCTCCACTCACTTTTCTTGTTTGTAAAACTTAAGATTCAATATAGTGAGATAGGTTGTATAAAATCAAAGATCAAGACTGAGCACATCTAATTTAAGAAATTGTCACAACCTTAAGCAATTGCATTTATGATAAGTTTAAAATTTTTAAATGGTTTTTTGCCACTGCTGCAAAAAAACAAGCGATTTAATTTAATATTCAATCAAAATGATATTTTCTCACATGATTTTCATATAATAACCGATTAACCTCTAGAGAATTTCATCTAAGAATATTTTTTATCCATATCAGTGAAAAAAAATGGTTAATTTTTGTTTAAGTATCAACTAAACGGTCAACATTTAAAGGATTGGATGGATTGATATTTTTACACCAACTCCTGTAATGTTATGGGTATTTTTGCTTCTGGCCTACGACTTTATGGGTGTTTTTGCATTTGGCTGATGACTTTATAAGTATTTTTGCTCATTTATTAGTCCACATCAGTAAAGACTGACACGTGGCACGTACGGTCAGCATTTAACAGTTAAAGTTAACGGCGTTAAGTCAAAGTTAATGATTTGATTACATTTGTGCTTATCCATGTAATGTTATAATATTTTTATCTTTTTTCTTACTTTAAAATATTGAGTGCTCATGATTGATTATTTTGTGAATATTTTTAACTTTTTACCCTATTATTAAATAAAGTTGAAAGCGAGAACCAGGATCGTCATGGTCTGGGAGTGTTACACATCTATAGGTTTGGTGTTGATGTGGTCACTTTGACCCAAAAAGACTTTTGTAAGGTTAAAAGACTCTAATCATATTTTTAATATTTCAAAAATTGTAATTTATAAAAAAACAGAAACCTCTTTAGTGTAAAAATTATAACACGACAGGCTTTAGCTGCTCCTTTTATTATCAAAAAAATAAATTACAACACGAAAATTAAACAATATATAATTTTTTACCTAACATTTGTAAGTGGCTGTAAGAGAATTTCTCCGAAACGAAACTAAACTAAACATCTCCCTCTTTCCCTCTCCGATCAACCCCATGTGCATCTTTCATCTTTAAACTTAAGGAATCAAAGGAATAAATTAGGCAAATATAAGGAACTAAAAATTTCATTTACCCCTAAATCAAAACAATGGGACAAAAATTAATTTGTGTAATTCGTATATAAGTTTAAATTTAACCAATATTATGTAATTTTTTCATATTAAAATACTTTTATTGCTTATTATTGGAAGATGAAAGATACAAATGGGGTTGTAGTTTTTGCGCCAGTGAACTTATTTCATGGGGATAAAAAGATGTAAGTACATGAATCATGCTTATGGGTCCCACGAAAACAGTCCGATTCCTTCCAGTTTTCTATTTGATTCCTCCCACTTCTCTGTTTTGTTGCCCTGATCACGTTATTGAGCCCAACCGAGCCCTGAGAGAAGAAACACCCACAGCCACGTCCACACACACACACACACACACACACACATTCTTATGGTAAACTGATTCTCATTTTCTCAACCATTGAAGTCCACCAGGTAAAACTAAGAAACAGGCTGAAACTTAGGGCAAAAGGAAAAGGATATAACATAAACAACAACACCACCACACAGCAAGCAGCCTGACACAAAAGGAAACATGTAAATAGTAGCTTTGAGAATCAGTGTGACGAGGTCGGAGTAGTGGTGATGATAATGGATTGATGATGGAGAATCATTGTTACTTGTTGCTCGGAGGTGGCTTCTCGCCGTAGCTCATCAGGTCCCCTATGGTCGGCTTCTTGCTGCTTCCTTTTGATGGTTTGTTTCCATTGTCACCAGAGACATAAGTGCGTCCATAACCTAAATGATCTCCTATGCAGCTTTTCTTGCCCTTCGATGGTTTATTTCCATTATCATCAGAAACATACCTGCTTCCATAGCCTAAATGATCTCCGATGCACTTTTTTCCCTTGGAATTATTTGATGAACTCATCGTCCCTGCATATATAATATTATCAATTTATTCTTATAACTAGCTTGAAATGAAAGAATATTATAATTATGATTTCACACGCACACAAGGCTTGGAAGTTGAACGAGTAAAAAATGATGAATTTAATTATGAAACTGTCAGTAGATTATTTTTTTATTTTATATTTATTAAAATAAAAAAATTATAAAAATTATAAAAATTATAAAAGCCTTAAATTTTTACCGATGAAAACCCACCCACCCCTCACTGAATCAATCTCACAAGGAATGGATTTGGATTTTGGACTTTGTGCCATAAGCAATCACTTGCATTCATAGTCAAAAAACCGTATTCCACACTCTATTTTCTGCCTTCTTCGTTAAGTGGCAAGATGAGAGAGTGCGAACCACGCGACCAGAGTTGGCCAATGAAGAGAAGCGTTCCACATCTGACGAGGGCAGATCAATGGCAAGAGGGTTTTCAGACTTAGGAGTCAAATCTCAAATTTTGGTTTCCTATATCTCACGGGTGTCTTCTTTCCACGTCATCAACGGCTCCTTTCATCGTAATCTCTTAGATTGCCGCAGAGCTCCCGTCGTGAAGAACGTCCCGGCCAGGCCCTCGCCGTTCTTACGTCGTCATTACCGAATCTCAGCCGCCCATTTCCCCCACGGCCTCTGCCGCACTCCCCTCCCCAGCATTCTCGGCCATCACCACCGTATCAGCCAAAACCACCGGTCATGAAACCACCGCCTGTGCCGAAGCCTCCGGTGGTGGAGCCACCACCTTATGTTGTGAAGCCGCTACCACCACCAGTTGTGTCGCCACCGTATCAGCCAAAACCACCGGTCGTGAAAACACCGTATGTGCCGAAGCCTTCGGCTGTGAAGCCACCACCTTATGTTGTGAAGCCGCCGCCGCCAGTTGTGTCGCCACTGTATCAGCCAAAACCACTGGTCGTGAAATCACTGTATGTGTCAAAGCCTCCGGTTGTGAAGCTACCACCTTATGTTCCTATTCCACCGGTTGTGTCCCCACCGTAAGTGCCAAAACCACCGGTTGTGAAACCACAAGTTGTGAAGCCACCGCCGTATGGACCTACACCAGCCACTAGTTGTGTCTCCACCGTACGAACCAAAACCACCAGTTGTGACACCCCCGCCGGTAGTGCCAAAACCTCCGATCATGAAGCCACCGCCGGTTATGTCAACACCTCTTTGCCAAAACTATCGCCGTCAAATCTCCTACCCAGCTATTGCTCTATCCTAAAAACACAACCTTCTCCTCCTTCATCTCGGCAGTTGCCTCCGCCGCTGCCACAGCTTGGTTCAATGATTCTTCCTCATCGGCGGCACCGTCGACATGGGCCATGAACCCCTCGAAATTGCCTGACCCTTGTCGGTGCGCCACCGTGAGCAAGCACATGCAAATGAATGATCCCTCTTTCTTGTCGAGATCAAAAACACGGAAAAAATAAGATCTACATATAGACCCACAATTTATTTGGTCTTTTTCTGAAGACGCGTTCGAATATCATCGATCAGAAAAGAACAGTTATGTGTATATGAGGAAGGAGAATTCAAGCACGAGTTTTTCAACGTAACTGAAGAAATTATGGCAGAGAATTTTACGCTGATGCAGATATGATATTATATATACCCAGGGAATTAACTTTTAGACTTTACCTGCAGGATCGGAGAATGGGGGAGTGACGCCGGTTGAGAATTGCTTCCGAACTTGTTCGCGACGTGAGTCTGATCTAAAAGAACAGAGATTTCAATAATGAACAAATCAAAGATTTATTAAGGCCTCCTTCCATGTGTTCACTCGCCTGTGATCTCTCTGGAAGTGAAGTGTGTACGGAGATGGCAAGTTGGCACCCCAAAAGCCCAAAAGGCCAAAAAGCCTCTCGTCCCCGCGTCCGGTTTTGGTGCACATCTGAACGGTTCAAATTATCACCATTATTTTTATATTTTAATATACATTTATTAAATTATAAAATATAAAATTTTAATAAAATTATTTTATTATCAATCTAAATAATACAGATTTAATTTAAATAATTTAATTTAATATTAATTTTTTAAAAAATTTTTATAAATTAACTATTCAGATGTATTGTAAAACTAATTTGTCTAAGTACATTTAGATAATTTATTTATAAAATTTTAAAAAAATTAATATTAAATTAAATTATTTAAATTGAAATGATATTATTTAAATTAACGATAAAATAGAATTATTAAAATTTTATAATAAATATAAAATAAAATTTAAAAAATAAATTTTATAAAATTTAAATCGTTTATGTTAAAAATTTAAATGGTTCAGACGCTCAGTGCTTATCACTTGATGAGCGCCAAATACCGGACTCGTCGTCCCTCGTCACTTTCGCACGTTCTTCCATATGAAGAGCTCATCATTCGTTACAGACCAGTAAAGTAATGACATAGTATTACCGAAATACCCCTGACTTAAAAAAGAAAAGAAAATCATCATCACCGACCATTGCATTCCTCAGACGACGTCCTCCAGGCCGCGTGAAGATATTTTGAGGTTTAGGGCAAAATTATTTATAAAGCCTAACATGTGTAATTGTTCTTTTAAAAAAAATTCACTCATCATTTTTAAAAAAATTATATGCTAAAATTTTATAATATACATATAATTTTGTAATATAGTGATTTTAATAAAATATTAAATTAATTCAACAGTTAAATGAAAATTAAAATTGATAAAGTGCTTCTACCCCATCTTATATATTGAGATAGAATATTAACACTAATATGAAATGGCACAGTACATTTTAACAAAAAAATATAATTAAGACTACTAATATTAATGATTAGTGTGAAAAACTAATAATAATTATATAAATTATAAATAAGATTTTAATAAAGTTTAAAGATGCCACGTTGATAGTCTAAAATTATACAAAGATCTTAATACTAATATCTCTCAATATTTTTATTTTAAAATAAGAAAATGAGAAAATAAAAAGTGAGACTATGAGAGGACTTTAAAGCAAGCTAATGTAGTATAAATTAATGTATTATGTATTTCACTATTTTTTATTATGTAGATAATGAACTTAACTCAATAATTAATGTTATACAGGAAATGGTTGGAATTTTTCAATATAAAGAACAATAAATACTTTTTTATTCTTTTTCATCTATAATTAAATATATAATAATATAAATATTAATTACACACATATATAATATATAATCGGGGTATCAATATATTTTCTGGGAGGCATAAGGCAATTGCCTCACCACGGCCCTGCCGACCTCAATTCTTCATCCTCCTCTGTCACACCCAAAACACCACCAAATCTGTCTTTCACCAACGGCTCCCTCAAGCGTCGCCACCCTTTGCCTCATCCGCCATCGCCTACGGTGGTTTCCTACAAGGAATGCCTCAAGAACCACACCGCCAGCATCGGCAGCCACACGCTGGACGGTTGCGGCTAGTTCATTCCCTCCTCATGCTCCAACCCCAGTGACCCGCTCTCCTTCCAATGTGCAGCGTGCGGCGTCATCGGCAACTTCAACCGCCGTGACCCCAGGAGCTAGCCCCACCTTCTTATTTCATTGGTGATAGGGACTAATAAAAAATGTAAAAAAAAATTATATTCCCGATTTAACAAGTTTTTTACTAGATTTTTGAATTTGAATTTTCCAATTATCTTAAGCTATGTTCATATCATAAGCAATTATCATTAGTTACTGGAAATTATCATTATTGATCAATTTTTTAATTCTAAAATTATTTTTACAATTTTTAAAAGTTAATTTAAAAAATAATTTTTGAAAATAATAAATGGGAACAAAATAAAAAAGTCTTATGTGACGAGACCCCTCGTTTGTCAACCTATCACGAAAAGTTAGGATTAAAAGTCCCATTTTATAATTACAATTTTAAATCAACCCGCATAGTACAATTTGCTACATATTTTTATTAATGTGAGATTACTGTTCTGGAAAGCATAGAGAAATCCCCCAGAATTTTCTTGGATAATGAAATCAGATAAATGCGGGGGTTCAAATTGTTATTTTTTTAATATCTTTTAATGTAATAATATATATAATTTTTATTTGTTAAATTATGTAGTTAATTAAAAGATTGTTATTAATAGTAGAGATGTAGTTAGTGATGAGACTATGTTGTAAATTACCAAAGGAGGCAAATTATTTAATTAATCATTGTAATATATAATATAAAAATTTGCATTCTTTTTTGGTCAAATACACAATTTGTGTGTGACAATGAATTGTATATAGCTGTATGCAGTGAGTATATATATATATATATATATATATATATCACTTTTGATATATGGGAGCGATCAAAAGTTTATATGCATATAAGAGTCATCAAATATCTGGGCGGCCCTGCACGCCATTTGAGTACTTTTGAACCCATCCGTCTCTCATCTCTGCAACTCCTTCACACTTAAAGACCCCTCTGGAAGTGCTTAAAAACCCATTCATCTACGGCTTTTAAATCCGTTGATCTTCCGGATAATAATTTATTAAAATAAAAATTTATAAATTTTTTTATTGCTCATAGATATTCTCTTATTAAATACAATTTTATTCAAGACAAGCACTAAATATGGGTATATCTCTCAATAGATATTCAAAACTTGGTTCGTCATGTTATGAGATATTAGCTCTCTTTGTTAAACTCAACCTCCGTTGATTTAAAAATTTATAAATTATAAAAAAATTAATGAATTTGCTCATCACTAATATCAAGAATTCAGATTTAATATGTATAATCCAAATTTAATATACAAAATTTTTGAAAAAAATGATAATAAAATTCTATCAAAATATATAAATGACAATTAGATCTCTTAAAATACTATAATTCCTTTCAAGTCCATGGATACCTTTATAAAATTAATGATTTTAAGTTAAATAACTAAATATCACATCCAAATTGTGCCCTTCCAAAGAGGGGAAGGTCGATAAATATAAAAAAAATGAGAGTCGCCATCAAAGTTTTTAGAAAAACCTTGAAAAACTATATAATGAAAAAGGATGCTTTGTCAAAAGGGTTCGCGAGTTGATTGTGCATGAAAAAAGTGTTAGACACTTCATGACACCCGTTTATAAGAACGGTCACCCTCGATTGATTGCATAAATTAATTGACCTTTTAATAATATCTTAATTACCCTTTAAATTACATGAAAAAAACAAAATGAAAAAACAAAATAAATTATTTATTTACAAAGGAGGATTTGACCTAATATTAAAGCCTAAGGCTTATGTACCCTATGATAAGAATCAAAGTTTACGTAGTTTGAATATTATTATTTAAGTTTTTTTAATTCTTTTAATTAATTTCTTTTATGAAAAGATTGATATTTTGTGTTATATTATTATATTTATTTTTTAAATAACAATTTGTTCCACTAAAGTACCTTTGGGTAAGAGAAAAATAATCAGTATTGAAACCTGCGGTGATTTAGTATTGCTCAAAGTTCACTGGTTGATACTTTAAGTGCATACGGTAATTTAATATTACTCATAATAAAACCTTAAGGAATTTTCAAAGTGAATAGTTTTCTATAAAATAATTTAACTATTAAATTTTTTTAAAAAATTTAATATACCTGCGATGACTTAGTGTCATTCACGGTATCTTCTTTTAATATTTTAAGGGATTCAAGGTGATTTAGTATCACCTGTAAGAAAAACTTTACAAGAACTCATAGAATTTAATTCATATATTTTTGGATGAATATAATGACTTATGAAACCCCTTTTTTTCTTCTGAATGTGTTTTCGAGACTGGATCAATTATGAGGGCAACTTAATTCTATTTATTCACATTTAATCATTTTGACTAAAATAGATTCACACTTGTATGACCACAAAAGCATAATTGAAAGGTCAAGAAAAAGATAAAAGAAACGGGTAAATATAAAATGAAATAAGAAAAATATATATATTTATATAAAGACATTAACCCAAAGCATGCCATTCAACGCAAATGCTGGAAATAAATGGGACCAAAACAAAAAACAAAAAGGAAAGATTAACACAAATAGTGGCATCATGATTTTTCAAAACAAACACTATCAAAACAAAAGATACTACTCTATTGGTTAGACTTGAAAGGAAAACCCCGACTTTACAACATGAGAGGTACAAGATGTAGACTATCATGCTTTTTCTTTCTACCGTGATCCCGTGAAAATAAAAGGCTTGAAAATCATTTTCATACCTTTGCACCTTCACTATTTGTCCTCAATTTTTTTCTTGCTCGACCTTTTCATGCCCCTCCTCCCTTTTTCTCTTCTTCTTTGCTATTTCTCTTATAGGCACCAACTAAAGTTTTCTGACCTAAAGACAGAATCAAGTAAATTAAGGCAATTTTTATTTTAACCTTTCTCCATGATTTCAAATTTTAAATTTTACATTAAAGGCAATCAATTTGATAGCAACAAAAATGAGGGGATTTGATAGTCAATAAAAAAGGGAAAAATATCTTTTAAATGATGAAGATACTATTTTATTTTCTTAATTTTTATAAAATCCTATTTTTCTTTATTTATTTTATTTACTCAAATTTATTGGGTTATTTATTTATTTTTGAATTACATCTGGAAGCCCAGAAAAAAGACGGTGTTCACACTAATTTATCCCTGTTTAATTATGAAAGAAATTTTAAGTGAAAAGTTATAATTTATTGTTCAATAATTGTTGTTTACAGCACAAAAATTGTTATTGTTTAAACAAAATATGTGATTGATTATTTTCAGAACTTGAACTTCAATAATAAAAGAAATTTTATGAGAAAAGTTGCAACTTCTTGTTAAATTTTTATAATTTACAAAATAAAAGTTGTAATTTGTTAAATAATAGGTGTGGTTGGTTATTTTAAATAATAGGCAATTTAGTCATTTAACATAAAATTATTAATATTAAAAAGGTACCCAAAGACTTGAGAGAAATTATGCCATTTTAAAAAAATTGATTGCCATTTATATATATTTCGTTGGATTTTTATTTTTATTTTTCCAAATTTTTTTATAATTTTTATAAATTAAGCAGCTAGGTTTACTATGAAATTTGGATAGTTTAAATTAAAACTTTTAATTTGTGAATTTTTAAAAAATATTTTTTTAAAAGTTTGCCATCAAAATATTTTTTTTATTTTTAATAATATATTTTTTTGTTTTAAATTATAGAACATTTTAAAAAAAAAAATTTATCTCAAAATATAAGATTATGAAACTGTCAGCCGCCCGTTTCCCCCAAAGCCTCTGCCGCATTCCCCTCCTAGCTTTCCTCGGCCATCACCACCTTATCGGCCAAAACCACCGGTCGTGAAACCACCGTATGTGCCGAAGCCTTCGGCTGTGAAGCCACCACCTTATGTTGTGAAGCCGCCGCCACTAGTTGTGTCGCCACCGTATCAGCCAAAACCACCATATGTGTCGAAGCTTTCAGCTGTGAAGCCACCACCTTATGTTGCGAAGCCGCCGCCGTCAGTTATGTCGCCACAATATCAGCCAAAACTACCGGTCGTGAAACTACCGTATGTGCCCAAGTCTTCGGCTGTGAAGCCACCACCTCATGTTGTGAAGCCGCCGCCGCCAGTTGTGTCGCCTTCGTGTCAGCCAAAACCACCGCTCATGAAACCACCGTATGTGCCGAAGCCTCCGGTTGTGAAGCCACCACCTTATATTCCTATTCCACCGGTTGTGTCCCCACCGTACGAGCCAAAACCACAGTAACCATAAGTTGTGAAGCCACCACTGCATGTGCCTACACCGGCCACAAGTTCTGTCTCCACCGTGCGAGCCAAAACTACCAGTTGTTACACCCCCGCCAGTAGTGCCAGCACCTCCGATCATGAAGCCCCCTCCGGTTGTGTCAACACCTCAGCACCAAAACCATCGCCGTCAAATCTCCTACCCAGCCATTGCTATATCCTGAAAACACAGCCTCCTCCTCCTCCATCTCCGCAGCTGCCTCCGCCACCGCCACAGCTTTGTTCAATGATTCTTCCTCATCGGCGGCGCTGTCGACATGGGCCATGAACCTCGAGAACTCGCCTGAACGTTGTCGGTGCGCCACCGTGAGCAAGCGCGTGCAAATGAATTATCCCTCTTTCTTGTGAAGATCAAAACCCCAGATAAAATAAGATCAACATATAGACCCAGAATTTATTCGATCTTTTTCAGAAGACATGTTCGAAATATCACCGATCAGAAAAGAACAGTTATATATATACACACACACACGAGGAAGGAGAATTCAAGCCCGGGATTCTGTTCGTTACTGAAGAAATTATGGTAAATAATTTTACGATGATGCAGATATGATATTATATATATACATATATACAGGGAATTAACTTTTAGACTTCACCTGCAGGACCGGAGACTGGGGAAGTGACGCCGGTTCAGAATCGCTTCCGAACTTGTTCGCGACGTGAGTCTAGACCTAAAAGAACAGAGATCTCAATAATGCATAAATCAAAGATTTACAAAGCTCTCATTCTATGAGTTCAGTCGTGTGCGAGATTTTCGAAACCTTTGAATGAATAGTATACGGGGGTAGCAAGTTGGCAATCCAGAAGGCCAAAAAAAAAAAAAACTCTCACATGCCTCAATATGTAGAGCTCATTTGTGACAGACCAATGAAATAATGAAACCTCAGTCATTGAACTAGTGTCAGGAATACAAAATTGCATTTGTGACGAGGACTAAGCGCTAATCAGAAGCAGCCAAAAGGCCCACAAAAAAAAAAAAAAAAAACTTCTCATGTACTTCCATATGTAGAGCTCATTAAGTGACTGAGCAATGAAATAATGACATCTCAGGTGTTGCAGTCGGGTCCGGAAAACAAAATTGCATTTGTTCTTTCAATTATCTTTAATTTAACTACAATCATATCAAAAGCAACTACTATTAATCATCGGCAATTACTATTATAGGTCAATTTTTAAATTCTAAATTTATGTTGAAATTATCATAATCAAACAAATTTTTTGTTTTAAAAATCAATTTTTAAAAGTTAATTTACAAAATAATTTTTGAAATAATAAATGGGAATAAAATCAAACAACTCAAATTTGTCTTGGCCTATCTCAAAGCTCCATCTAATTTACATAGAGCCGATAATAGGCCAGGATTACTCAATTCAGACTTATAATACTTGAATATATAAAAAAATCTATATAATCAAGTTCAACTCTAACATTTTTTTACTTTTAGACTTATTCAAGTTGGTTCGAATACCTAAATTATTAAATATTATTTTTATTTTTTAATTTCAATTTTATTTTAAAAAAATTAATATTTTAAATTAATATTTGTTTTGATATTATTTTATTATTAATAAATAAAAATTTTGGGTATATGGGATAAGCCTATTAGGGTTTGAGATTGGTCCAGATTTCTTCAAGTTTATTCAAATGGTCTAAATAAGGTCAGAGTAAAAAAAAAAAAATTAGACTTTCAAACCCAAGTTTAAAATTTCTCAATTTTATAATTCAAAAAAATAAAATTGATTTTCCGAGTTGATCACCTCTAGTTCGTTTACAAGCCCCACTTGCGTCAACTTCTCTTCACTACACTAGTGTATCTTTCGGCGACCTATCACTAAAAGTTAGGTTCAAATTAAAATCCCATTTTACAATTAGAATTTTAAATCAGTCCAACTAGTTCAATTTGCTGCATATTTTTATTAATGTAAGAAATCCCTCAGAATTTTCTTGGACAATAAAATCAGATCAATGCAGGGGTTAAAATTGTTATTTTTTGTTTTATATTTTTTATTTAATTTTAATATATACAATTTGTATTTGTCAAATTATGTAGTTAATTTAAAAGATTGTTATTAACAGTAGAGAAGTAGCTAGTGACGACACTATGTTGTAAATTACCAAAGGAGGAAATTATTTAAATAATAATAAATAATAATAATAATAATAATAATAATAATATGTTATGTAAAAATTTGTAATTTTTTTGGACAAACACATAATTTGTTTGTGACAGTGAATTGTATAGGACTGTACATAGTGATTGATCAAAAGTTATATATATATATATACACTCCCACCCTTTAAATAATATAAGGCATTTTTAATTGAATTATACCTCCTCAATAAAATATACAGTAAATTGTATAGTAGTTACTTATTTTTAAATTAATCATATCTTTTTATATTTATCTCTATTTAATAGGGTGTTTCACCATAAAATAAATATAAAGTGATTTATTCAATAAGGATACTTTTAAAAAAAGACAATAATTATATCCTAAAAAATTAAAAATATTTTATATTTTTTAACATTTAACTTTTTAAAAAATACTTTATATTTTTTAAAAGAGATAATAAAAAAAAATGATCAAAGATCCAGATCCTAACGTGGCCTAATTCTGCGCAGCCCTGAGCGGCACATAGATCTAAGCCATTCATGTAATCCAATTATCCATGTAAGGCCACGTCATTTGAGCACTTTTAAACCCATCCGTCTCTTATTCCTGCAATGCCTTTCCACTTAAAGACCCCTCTGGAAGCCCTTGCCTTTGAAACTGAACCCCTTCATCAAGGATCTCCAAATCCATTGGCCGTCACGGATGATAATTTATTAAAATAAAATTATACAAATTATTTTTTTAATGTTTGTATTTTTTTATTGAATGCAATTTTATTCAAAACACTAAATATAGACATTTTGTTAATAAAAATTTTAAACATAGTTCGTTATATTATTTTTTTACATTAGATTTAACTCCCATTAATTTAAAAATTTATAAATTATTAAAAAAATTTAATGAGTCTACTCATCACCACTTTGATTAATTGAGATTTAATTTAGACAATCCACATTTAATATAAAATTTGTTTACAATTTTTATATTGACCATTTAAATTTACTCTAAAATATGGATGGTCTAGATTTGCAACCTATCAAGATATTATCTTTATTTTTAATATTATATTTATCAAATAAAATTTTATAAAAATTTTAAATTTTTTTAATATTAAATCTAGATCAGATAGAGTAAATCTAAAAAATTAATTTATAAAAAATTTTAATATAAATTTGAATTATTCAAACCAGGACTGGTCTTATAATTTTTATAAATTAACAATTCAAATTTACTTTGTAATTTGAATAGTTTAGATTTAAAATTTTTAAATTATAATTTTTTTTAAAATATTTTATGAAAATCTAGCTTCAAGATATTATCTTTATTTTTAATATTTTTATTTATTAAAATAAAAATTATAAAAAATTAATATTAAATCTGAAACTAGCTAAAATAAAGTAGATAATAAATTTATAAAATTTTCATTACAAATTTAAATTATTCATGTTAAATTTGGTTGCTGGTGATGAATAAATTTATTAAATTTTTTATGTTTTTATCGTGATAAATATAAAATAAAACTATAAATTAAAAACACTAAAGTCCAAAGGAGTTGGCAAAAAAAAAAAATTTAGGTTCAAAGGTACTCAAATGACGTGGCTTAATGTAGATGATTGGATTGCATGAAAGGCTTAGATCTATATGCGGCGCAATGACCCACAAAAGTTTGCTGCGTCAAGGATTTGGATCTATTCAAAAGTTGAGTGTGAAAGTGATATCCAATTTCACTTCCATTTCTTTGTTTTTTTTATTTTTGGTATAACTTATCCAGTATTCTGGATTCATTACCCATCTCAAATTAATCTGGACCTTTCGTAAGGAGACTTTATAGTGATTGCGAGATACTGATCGGATGATCTCTTTGAAGCTGCGTTAATTATTGTATTTGTCACTCTTCAAGGTTTGAACCTTCACCTTGAGGAATATCAATAATGACCCTTACCAACTCTACCGAGTGCCCATCTTCCTAGCTTCTGTGTGTTTTTTAAGAATTGATGCGGGCCCTTCTATTAGAGGTGAAGTTGGGCTCAGTTGATGAGGCTCAGTTAAAGTAGACTTAATAAAAAGAGCTGTTAAGAAAATGTCTGTTCAACATCAAAATCATGAGAGCCCAAAGTATATAGTGTTTTAAAAAAATATCCTACACCAAAATATGAAAAGTAAAAATTAAAGAGCAAACTCACATAACATTCATGTGCATCTGATTGAAAATTTTAAAAAATAATTAATTATAGTGTTATCATTATATTTATTTACTTATAATTACTTATACAAGTCTTTTTTATTCGCTCATACAATTCTATTATACACATTTTAAACACTATTATTTTTTTATAAAATTATTGAATCAATATTTAAATCCTTTTAAAAAATAAAATAATAAAAATTTTAATCCTTCAAGTTTACTTCAAATGTTGACTTGATACATTAAATTTAACTTTTATCAACTTGGTTTATTATGTTTTTTAAACTTATCATGGTCTCTTAAATTTCAAGACACAAATTTGCTCTTAAATTAATATAATGTGTAAAGTATTTTGATGACTTTACTTGTATATGTAGCTAAATGAGAACAAATTAGCTCTCAAATCACTTTAATTTTTATTGAACTGGTTTCTAATGCTATGTTTTTTTTAATGGATAAAAGAGCAAATTATATCTTGAACTTTAGGTCCAATATTATGTTTGGATAAATAAGTATTATTTTCTTATTCCTTCATCAAGCATGTTAACAAACTTTGGGTATTATCACCTTTCGATCAAACTAATCCAAATCCCCCTTATGTGAGATTGTTATTACCAACAGTAGCCTTATGAATGCCTTAGAGGTGATTTTGACATATTT